GACCCCTGGGGGTCAAGCTGATAGGCCTCAAGCCAAGTACTGAATCATACTGTGCTCCCTAAACTCCCACAAATATCTTACCAACCAAGTAAAAAGGCATGGCCTTTCCTCAGGCCGTTGTCAGTACCCAGCCACACACAGTCTAAGGAAGAGGGCAGGTGTCTGTTGGCCCAGTGAGGAGGTAAAGGGTGCTGCTGTCACCCAGCACCTGCCCCAGGCGGGCCAGTCCTCACCTCTGGTCGCCCAAGCGATTGGTCCCTCTGTGCCTTTCTGCTCCTTTGTTCTAGGAGTGGGTCCTCAGCTTGGGATTGGAAGTTCTGTAGCCCCCTTGTTTCTGCAGGCGGAGACTCAGGAAATGGTGCCTGGTTGGGCGTGGTGTGAGGCTCAGAGCCCACCATGGCTTAGGAGTATAGATGAGGGCACGGCTGCTTTGTTAATAAATGTCTGTGGCACTACGTGTGGGTGCCCTGAGTAAAACAAGGTCACTTAGAGGGCAGGGATGCACCATGCGGATTAGCAATGGCGTCCCAGATAGACTTGGAGCTTTGAGCCTCTGGGCCCTCCAGGGTCTGCACCACAGAGCTCTTTACAGTTGGGGATGCAAACTGCTGAGGTGAGGGGCATGCCAGGGCCCTGCTGCATGGAAGGGAGAGGAAACCTGGGGACCTCTCACCACAGGACCCCTCACCACCCATGGTGCTGACTACGTGGGTGGGACCCAGGGATGTGTGATATCGGGGCACATACAGGGGCTTCAGTTATCACCAGCGCTCCCTGGCCAATCCGAAAGGCTCCAGCCAGGTTTCTAAACTCAGTTTTGGAGCCAGAATAGGACCTGTTACCCAGACCCCTGGGGGGCAAGCTAATAGGCCCCCAGCCAGGGGAAGTGGCTGTCCCACAGTGGACCCTGGAGCAGCCCTCTCCACTGTGCTCCCGTGACTCGGTTTTGGCCTGCTTCAGGCTGCAGGATGAGCTGCCCTCGGGGTCCCTGTGGTTCCTGGGATGGACCTGAGTTGCTGGAGAGTCGGCGTGGCCTCTGGAGAACCCTTGGGTATGAAGGCCTGGGGTGGTGAACTAGATTTAAAAGCAGGACTTTAAGGCACTTATTACAAGAACTGTTCAACCAGGGACACTTCCTAAGGCCACCAGGCTGTTTTAAGGCCATAGTTTTCTATGTGCCTTGCCACTGGAGGTCATTCCCAGGTCCCCTCCACAAGGCTCTGCCACTGGTCCTGGGACACAAAAATGGCCACTCCCAGTCTTGGCCACCAGATGGCAGTGGTTACAAAGCCTGGGTGCCTGCTGTCTGAGGGTGCCTGACTTCTGGGGCCTTCTCCATTCCCTCAGAGCCTCTTAGCATCGAGTGCTGCTTGACCCGGCCCCACGATCCCAACTATGGCTGAGGGAAGATGGGAACAGAAAGCCGACACAGCCTGTGGCCTCAGTTTCCATTCCATGTGGGCTGCAAGGGGCTCCAAGGCAGGCAGTGTAGCATTCTGGGGAGCAGCTGGCACTCAGGTTTGCTGAGGAGGAGGCCAGGAGCAGCTTCCTGTTTTGTGGGTGCAGCTTTGGTTTTGTTTCTGGCCACCTGAGAGGGCGAACCTTAGGGCCACTGGACAGAGAAGGAGGCTTCTCTCCCTCCCCTCCCTGCTCTCCATGGAATGAGAAGCAGCCTCTGAGTGAAGCCTGATGGTGTGCCCAGGCCCCCAGCTGAGGGACCTGGTGGGCAGCCCAGGGGAGGGGGCTGCTGCCCGGGAGCTCGTGGCAGGGTGAGGTCTGCAGGCAGCACCCTCAGTTCCAAATCCCAGCCCTGCCAGGCATGAGCAAGTGACCCTACGTGATGTGATGGGGACCAGGAACCTGGTGTTCTGTCTTGGTCCCAGTCTATAAAACGGAGTGACGAGGCCCCTTCCCAGCATGGTTGGAGCATGAAGCAAATTACGTGCCATGGGCCTGTAGTCAGGACTTACGAACTATCCCGTCGCAGCTTGATTTTAGGGAGAGGGCAATCTTGTGACAACGGACTCCAGCAAGTGTGCTGCCCTGAGTCCCGGAACAGCCTGAAGGTCCAGTGCGGCTTTCTGTAGGTGGCCCTGTGCTGCCTCCCTAGCACCCCCCACATGCAGACTCTCAGAAGGGGGCCTGACCGCAGGGGCTGTGGCCAGGACCGAGGTGGCTTGGAGGGAGAGGCCTTGGCCCAGGTCGGGGGATGGGGGGTGGGCACGGCCCAGGATGGGGAGGAGTGGTGGGGGCAGGGGGAGGCCATGACCCAGAGGTGGCCAAAGTGCACCACACAGGCAGTTTTTTTTTTTTTAATTCCCACGTGGAAAAATCTTGGTTTACTTAGAAAGTTCTAGGAAGAGGACTCAGGATTTGAAATGCCGACAGTAGGTGGGGGGCTCCTACTCCTCTCTTGCAGGTTTAACCAGTTGTGGGCAAAAACAGACCAGCCCAGAGGACAGCCACCCAACACCAGAAAGCCTCGTCCTCTTCTAGGCAACATAGGAGTGGGAGGCTGCATCCTGCTTCCAGGAAAAGCCTCAACTAACAGGAGACACGGCCCGAGGGGCGGGGGGTGGGGGAGGAGATTTGGGGGGTGCGGGGGGAGTCTGCTGCCCTTCGCACCGTCAGGACTATGAGATGCGAGGGCCAGAGGACAAGCTGCCGACCCAGCAAGCGCCTGCGGAGGTGGCGGTTGAGATGGTCTAGGTGGGAAAATCGGACCCTGATGGGCAGAGAGGCGGGTGTTTGCTGAGGCTTGGGCCTGGCAGAGGCCTGGCAGTGAGGGGAGTCCCCCCGCCACATTGCTTAGGCTCCCCAGGGGCCAAGGGGGAAGGGACAGCTCAGCTATCTGCAGGTCCCCCTCCCAGCCGCAGGGTGGAGGCTGCGTGTGAGGGTAGACTGGGGCCAGGGAGTGGCAGGCACAATGGTGCGGCCACCTTGGGTCCACAGGCAGTGGCACCAAGGGAGAAGCCTGGGGGAGGCTGTGGGCCAGGTGAGGAGGTCATGGTTGAGGTATTGAGGCCCTGACAAGCTGGGAGCTGTGGCCCAGGTGGAGAGGTGACCAAAGTGCTCTACAGAGGCTATGGCTTTTCTGCTTGATTGGTCACATGTGACTGGCTGCAGGATGTGACCAACCTGGTCACATCAAGGTGACGGAGCACCTCCTTCAACTCCAGACTCCTGGGAGCTGGGCCACAGGATCAGGCCCCCTGGTGTGTGTGGGTGTAAAACCTCGGGATCGTGCCCTCGGGTGCCAGGGGCTGCACTATCCTATGCCAGGCCCAGTTCTAGTGCCCTGGGCACCACCAGGATTTGGCTGTCACCCTCTCACAGCCAGTAATCACAGTGTGGGGAGCAGAGGCTGCCCAGGGTGCCTGGGGAGGAGCCTCAGGAAGTTGGGCGTGTGACGTGAAGAGGTGACCAGAGGCCAGATGGAGGACAACTGTCTGAGCTCCAGAGGGTGCCGCCTGCATGTTCTCCCTACCAACCCAGGCACTGGAGGATGGGCGGGAAGAGGGGCCTGCCCTTGTGCCCCAGCCCTCAGCCGTACCCACAAGGCAGAGGAAGCTTGGGTGCTGAGTAGGTGCATTTCCCACTTTGGGGGCATCTTGGTGCCTGTGTTCCCTCGAATGTGACGAGCAAGTTCCCGCTCAAGGGATGGCTCCCTCTTCATCAGCATCTCATCAGAGATGTCGCTGTCAGGCCCACCCACCCCCGACTGCTCATGCGTCTCCCAGCACCTACCACCACCCTGGAGCCTAGGAGCCCAGTGCATTAGGACCCTGGTCCTTGCACACCAGTTCCAAGAGGTGGGGATCTGTTGCTCTGCCAATCCCTGAACCCGCGACCTCACGCTAACCTGGAAGGAATGGCATTTCCTATTCCCCTGGGCAGTTCCATAAGCCCAGTGCCCGCCCTGCCCACACCCAGGGCACTGGCTGGACAGCTGGGGTGTGGTCTTGGGTCAGCTTCCCATCACTGCTGAATGCCTTAAAAGGTGCAAAGTTTTATTTTGGTTCCTGGTTTCAGTCCACAGCCAGTTGGCCCTGTGGCTTTGGGCTATGATGGCAAAGTACGTCATGGCCACTGGGGAAGCTGCTCACCTCCTGGCAGCCAGGAAACAAAGGGAGAGAGGAAGGTGCGGGGTCCCAGAGCTCCCCTTCAAGGGCAGGTGACCTCACTTCCTCCAAGGAGGCCCCGCCTCTTAGAGGCTCCATCCCCCCAATTGCACCCAGGATTGGGGTCCAAGCTCTTGACACAGGGGCTTTGGGGAACACTTAAGGTCCAGATAACCAGCAGGGCGCGGTAGCCGCCTGGAATCCCAGCAGCTCAGGAGGCCCAAGGCAGAAGGAACACAAGTTCGAAGGCAGCCTCAGCAACTTAGCGAGGCCCTATGAGACCCTGCCTCTAAATAAAATATAAAAGGGCTGTGGCGTTGCTCAATGGTTAGCGTCCCTGAGTTCAATCCCTGATACAAAAAAGAAAGAAAGAAAGCAGGTGATAGAAGACGAATGGAAGGGTGAATGAAGGGATCTGAGGCCTCTGACCCCAAAGAACCGCGACCGGATCGCAGAATGTGCGCTGTCTTCCTCAGCATTGCTGCAGGACTTGTCACTGGGGCTTCCTGTGCCCTGTAGACATCACAGCTCCCCTGACCAGCACGTGGCACCCAGCTGAGCTGTAGCTGTCTCCAGGGGCTTCCTGGGACGAGGAGTGGGGAACCCCCGATTGAGAACCACTGAGTTTCACTGCAACTTTCAACAACCACCCCCCCCCACCGCCCCCTAGTCCCCAGGAGAGTGGCCCAGGTCCCAGTGACCTCTCACCCTCAGAGAGCCACTAGAAACTGCAGCTTTGCTGCTGTCATTTATTGTTGGACCACATATTTACACCCCCACAGGAAGCCTGTCCCGTGCTCCCGGGCCCTTGGTGTCTAGTGGCCAGCCCACTGCAGACGTCCAGGCCCAGGCAGGAAGCCCAAAGCCGAGCCCTGGGTGTCAGGTGTTCAGCAGGAGGGGCCGGTGCTCCTCATCGACGGAGTCACTGGGAGGAATCTCGTAAATGACAAACAGGGAGGAGTACAAGCAGCCCAGGAAGGACACCAGGCTGGAGAAGTACATCACGCCGTTGGCGCTGCCCACAGCCGAGGTCAGGGGCCCCAGGACCAGGGAGACCAGGATCTGGGCCAGGAAGTACTGGCAGCTTAGCAAAGAGATGTCCACGCCCATGCCCCGCCTCGTGCCATCCGCTCCGGACCCTGCAAACTGACCGGAGAGGGACGCATCAGCCAGACCCGCCCCAGCCAGCCACGCAGGGCGGTGAGGAGGCCCCGCAACTGCTCCGCAGCAACCTCACGTTTTTCAGGCCGAAGTGCTCAGGGCTGAGCCAGGACTTGATGACATCTGCATGTGGAGGGATGGCGACCGGGAACAGGACAAGTACTAATGGGTGGAGGGCTGAGTTCCCACAGGCCAAGCGTGCCCCCTGCTCTCCCCAGGAAGGACCACTGCCCAGCCCCACGGCCACTCTGCCTGCGCCCCCTTCATCTTCCTCAGCCAGGAAGCCTGCCTGAACATGCCCTGAGATGTCCCTTGTGGCCTTTGGCCTTGGTCTGGAGGTTCCCAAGGCTGCAGCTTGGAGACGCCCTTCTCCCTCCCTCCCCACCTCAGCACTGTACCTGGGGAGGTGAGAGGTGGATTTTGAGGAGCAGAGCAGGAGGGGCAGTGGGGCCGCACACTTGTGGGCAGCACAGGCCACCAACAGCCACCTGTGTGCCAGATGGATGCCTCCCCATTGGTCAGGGGTGTGTGACATTATAGACAGCATCCATGCACCGATGGGCAACTCTGGGACGACGGACAAGGCACGTCAAGGTGCTCTGTGATCAGCACCACTGTCCTGGGGAAGGCTGGAGCTCCCTGGGCTACACCTGTCTTTGCAAAGAAGGTCCTCTGGGTGCTGGGTTGGACTCCAGCCCAGACAGGAGCCCCCTGGAGGCTGTGGCCACGCAGGCTCCGCATCCACGCAGGCTCAGCGTCCACGCAACTGTGACTGAATCCCATTAGGGCAACCCCTGACCCTGGTGCCCCTGCCTGAGGGGAAGGGCAGTCCTTTGCCCAAAATTGGTACATGGTTTACTCCAGTGAAGGGGGCTCAGAGCTCCAGGGGCCTGACAAGGGGACAGGGCTGTCATGCCCAGCTCGCGTGGCGTGACTAAGCTGACGGGGAGCTGTCGCAGCCACCACCCAAAGACACCAGGCCTCCCCTCTGTGGTTCCTGGGAGCCCGATACTGGGGGATTTCGCTCTTCGTAAAAAGCACTGTGCTTGGGGCAGCCCTGGCTGAACTTGTCAGAAACCTCAAAACCTTAAAATAAACCAGGGCTGGGCCAGAGACTGGGGCCCCAAATTAAAGGGGCGTCAGGAACTAGTGAGCAGGTAGTATTTTTAATGCAGTATTTAAAATTTTCAAAGTTACTGCAAAAACAAAAAACACCACGGTGGGAGCGTCCTGCGGCCGTAAAAGAGGGTGACACAGCAACTCCTGCTACACCCGGGGGAGCCCAGACCATCGACTCGGAACGCCAACCAGTGGTGGTCTTGGAGGCCAGAGGACTGATGGCTACAGGGTTTCTTTGAGGGTGACACATGTTCTAGGTTGGCTGTGGTGGTGGGCACACAGTTCTGTGTCTGACACCTCAGCTCTGCCCAAATAAGCCAGCAGCCGCCCCCACAGAGACGGCTCAGGCTGCCCTCGTCTCTCTGGCTTCAAACACCAGCGCGGGTCGGCCTGGCCGCGATCCCCAGCTGGTCTGTGTTGTAGGTGTCGACACCTTGTTCTGCACGGGCTTTGGACATTAGTTCTGATTTTCAGAAATCCTGCCATCACCTGCCACTGGTCCTGGGGGGCTAGCTCTGGGCGCTCGGCTCTCCTCCCGTGAGCCTGACGGTGAACTGCTGTGTGAGTGGGGGACCCGGAAGCCTGATGAAGGGGACAGAGGCGGGGGGTCTCCCTGACCCAGGGTCCTTGCACAGAGTGTGGGTCATGTGGAGGCCCCTGCTAAGGAAGCAAGGGACGGCTCACAGGGCGGTGAACCTGGGCGGGTCATGGAGGCCGAGCACACTGGGAAGGACTCCCTCCCGCCGCCAGTGTCTGGATGGTCTCCATTTTCAAGCAATGGCCCTGCAGATCGTGCACCCATCCCGGGGACATTTCCCAGGCAGCATAGCCAAGAAGCAAAGGAGCACTTACCTTCTTGCTCTGGTAGTAGTCGCAGAGGAGCGAGTAGGGCAGCGTGCACAGGGTGGAGAACAGGACCCCGTAGGTTATGCAAAGGGACAAGACCACGTAGAGGTTCCTGGAGAGCGTGGCCAGCCCGGTGCCCAAGCCGAAGGCGAGATAGGCGATGAAGTAGAGGGTGCGGACGCTCAGACACTCCTCCAGCTTCTCCAGGATGGCTGCGGGTGGGAGAGGGTGAGCGGCCACCGTGTGCTGGCCCCACAGACCACATCCTGCACCACCGCCAGGGCTGAGCTGAGGTGGTGGAGAAGGGACCCCGGGTGGCTGGCCACCTGGCCCCAACCAGAAAGCACTCATTGGGGGCTTCCCAAGGCAGGACTGTCACATGGTCGGCAGCAGACCCCTGGGGCTTCTGCAGGGGAAGGGGTCTCTGGGCGGAATCACGGCAGAGATTCAGGAACTCGGGCTGGAGCTGAGTCTGCGCGTGCGTGGATATTCTTCTTTGCTGTCTCTTTCCTACCACGGGGACAGCAACAGCCCATCCCCTGGCTGGCCACCATCTTTATGACTGCCACGAGGTACCCAGAGATGGCACGACAACGTGGGTCTGTTTTATTTAAACAGCTGAGGCCACCTGGCTATGGGGCACCCAACACCCCGGTTGCAGCCCAGAGACTTGCAAGTGAGATTTATTCATTTTCTGGGCCAGGAATGGAACCCTGGCCATTTAGCTACAGACCGTTGAAGGCAGCTTCCGAGCCAAGAGGGCACAGATCTTGGCTAAAGAGCTGGGGTGACCTGTGTGTGGCCTTTTGCAGACAGGAGCCGACCCTAAGAGAACACTTCCGGTGGTCACTGCAGCCAGGCCCCACAGGGTGGGCACTGTCCTCCACTCAATCAACATGCCACCCAGTCCCAGGGCTCACCCACCAGCGTCCCCTGCCCACCCCACAGGCTCCTTGATGCAGCCCCACCACCCCTCCGTCTGCCGCCCCTCGGAAGGACATGGGTCTGTGCAGCACAGCCCTGGGGCGGCCAGGCATATCCCAGGTCCCCACTTGGCCCTTGGCCCTGGGTTTAGTCAGGGCTAGCCAGGCACCTGTCCCCTCGGGCTGCCCGCAGGTTGGCCTCTATCCCCCAGTGCCCAGGACAGTATGGCCTGCCGGTCCAGCAGTTACGGAGGGACTGAAAAGAGACAGCATGTGCCACCCGCCCGGCGCCCCGAGTTTGGATTCCGTGTCTGCACTGGGGAAGTGGGCGGCCGCCTACCTGAGTAGAGGGCCGCGCTGAAGGCGTAGATGCACATGCCCCAGCAGCCCATGGTCACGCCGCTGTTGTACTTCTGATACTCTTCTGACGTGTGCGGGGCCTTGGGGTCCCCTTGGAACACCACCTCGCCCATGAAATCCGTGTAGAAGAGCAACATCCCCTCAAAGGAGAGCCAGCCTGGGAGGAGGAGAGAGGGCTGTGGCCCTGGATTGCAGAAGCTGCGGCCCAGCCCTTTAGCCAGGCCGTTCTTACGGATGACAAAAGACACAAGTGATTTTTGTTGTGTCTTGTTTGGTCCCAGGGATTGAACCACTGAGCCACATCCTCAGCCCCTCCACATTTTTTAAATTATTATTTTGACATCGGGTCTCATTAAGTTGCTTAGGAACTTGCTAAATTGCTGAGGCTGGCCTTGAACTTGTGATCCTTCTGCCCCAGCCTCCGGAGCCGCTGGGATTACAGGCGTGCACCACCGTAACTGGCAAAACAAGCAATTTTTATAGACTCAAGGATTACAGAAGAAGCACCCCATAGCTTCACCCCCAGAGACAACCTCTGTTAAAGCTCTGTAGGAGTCCCTGTGGCCTCGCAGGTCACATGAATGTGTATTTTTATAACACAAACAAGTCGATGCCATGGGTGCTCGGGCTACTGGGAGAAATACGTTAGGAAGCACAAATGGTGACATGGACCCCATGTGCTTCATCACCAATAGAACTTAAGAGCTCTGTCCCTCTGACTCGGTGTCATCCCTTCTTTGTGGGGGAAGGTGGTGTTTACTGGGTCTCTCGAACCCCAAGAAATTTCCACAACTTCCTAAATCTTCAAATACTGTGAGACAGACTCATTTTAATGCCATAAAATGCTTCACAGCGTGGCCACGCTGTGACATACTCAGCACCCCCAACTGTTGGACACTCTGTCCCCTGGCCAGTTTTCAGCTATTGCAAGCCACGCTGGGCAAAAGGGCTCATGCACATACACTTGATGCCATCTTTGGCTGCATAGGACACCCAGTGAGGTCACTGCGACAAAGTCATGGACACTCTTATGATTCCTGCCCATGACCAGATGGCCTTCTAGAAGGTCCTGCTGATCCATGTCCCATCCTCAAGCTCCTAATCACCCTCAGATGCCCAACAACTCAACAGCAAAGAGACACCAAACAGAATAAAAGGCGAGTCCACGGTCGCTCCAAGGTCAAGCCCTGTGGGTTTAAGAGCATCCGTGGGTGGACCAGGCTGATGCAGCAGGTGGAGGGCAGAGGAGGACACTGTGGGAAGGTGGGGCCCGTCGTTTCACTATGAGTTGTCCCAGAGCTTTTGGGAATAAGGATTTGGCTCTGTGGAGACCCAGGTGTCCAGCCCTGCCCTGGGGAAGTAGTGTGACCCAAACACCAGGTTTGATGGGGACCTTGATGGGGACCTCGCAGGGCAGCACCTTGCTGCCCTTGATGTCGTCTGTGGGCTAATGAGGGAAGAGCCTCCTGGGAAGGGGCAGAGAGGCTCGGGCCAGGGGGCCCTCTCCGGGCCCAGAACTCACCCAGGAAGTGGTTGACGCAGAGGTTGCGCAGCGCCTTGGGCATGTGGCAGATGGTGAAGCAGAGGCTGCGCAGCGACAGAGGCCGCTCCGAGTGCTCGCTGGAGCCCGTCAGCTGGCTCTCGTACTTCACGCCGTTGAGCAGGATGTTTGCTACCTATAACGGAGCCACAGAAGCCTGGGTCAGTGAGCCAGCCCCGGGTACAGAGCACGAACCAAGCACCAGCCACCAGAGGAGGGAACTCAAGGCCCGCAGTGTGCCACAGAGCCCACAGTTGCTCCCAGTGTGCTGCAGCAGGAGAGCTCTGTGCCTCATGGTGGGGGCGGGGGACGCGGTTAAGCCCTGGGAAAACACGGAGTCCACTTAAAAAAACATGGATCTGTTCAGCCCAGGACAGCGCGAGGCCTTTCTTTTCCAGGAGGTCCATTATTTCAAGGTGATGGGGACACCTGTTCCGAACCCTCTCTGCACAGTCCCCCACCTGAGCACAGGGCGGGCACATCACATTGCCCCCAGCCCCAGCCTTCAACGGGGACGTGCTGTGCGGCTAAGGTGCCCCCTGTCCACACGATGGAAACAGAAGGAATGGGGGACAGTTTCTTTCTGGGACCCAAGAACGATCCTCCTGGGGGGCATCTGCTCACTGACTCCGCCTGCTCCTCCCTGCCTGGTTTGGGGGCACAGACTCCAGCCAGGAGAACTGATCATTCTGAACTTGAGCCGTTTTGAGAATAAAGACGCTGCTCTGGCTCCACAGGGGAGTCCAGGTGTTGTCTGCGCCCAGCGGCTGCAGTGGGGAAAGGACATGGGGCGTCCACATCACTGGTTCCCAGGGGCCACGTCGACAGAGCCTGTCCCCCACACCTGCCCGAGGAAGACTGCTACTTATACCATGTCCCCACTCAAGCCTGGATGTGTTTATTTTAGCTCCTGATTTTTATTCTCCTCAAAGAGCTGGGGCATCAATGGCAATGGATTCAGGATGAGAAGGGATTCAGGAGAGAAGGGATTTCAACAGGAGTTTCAAGAGCACCCAAGGAACTGTGCTTAGAAGCCACTCTAAACCTGGAGAGACAGGTAGGAGGCCCCGGCATTGACAAAAGACTGGCTTCGTCGCTCTGAAGTCACCAGAGATGAGGGTGACAGCGCCCCTGATGGGAGCAATCAGGAAATCCCTTGCTTTGGCCAACAGCAGGCCTTCCTGACTCTGGAGATCTTTGGGCCTTCAAACCATTTCCGTGCAATGGCTCAAATGGTGCTCCCAAGGACTTGGCCAGGACCTGCCCCTGCCTCTGCAGGGCTCTTCCCCCAGATGGGACAATGACTGAGCCAGCCAGCAATGGCTTTAAGGCCCAAGAGCCATAATGCAGCAGAGGAAGCCAGGAGAGTCCCAGTCAGGCCCAAGCATTTCACTGGGAGGAGAGAGTGGGCAGCCACCTCGGGGTGTGTCCAGTTAACTACTGACTAAGCCAGGGAAGTCTTCCTGGGATCAGGGAAGGCACCCTGGGCTCCTGGGGGAAGCTGCCTGAGAAACCAATGGCCCTGGTCCCATGTGGACCCAGATGGGGTCGAGTTGGCCTGGATTTACTTCTCACAGGGCCGCGTCCAGCCCACCTGGCCCAGTGCAGGTTAGATGGTTTCACAGGACTCAAGTCCACAAACCCCAAGTTCCTGACCTCTCCTCCTATAACGCCCAAGGCCAGTGGGCCACTGGCAGCCCTGTGTCTACTTAAATAAGAGAATTCCCTCCCTTGGCTTGGAGTAGCCTCCTCAGGGTCATGGTCATGGATTCTTTTTTGTACCAGGGATTGAACCCAGGGGTGCTTAACCACCGAACCACATCCCCAGCCTTTTAAAATCTCGAAACAGGGTCTTGCTAAGTTGCTGAGGCTGACTCTGAGCTTGAGATCCTCCTATCTCAGCACCCCCAGCCACTGAGATTACAGGTGTGCACCACCAGGCTTAGGATCGTGGATTCTGGAAGTTGGTAAAACCTCATGTCTCACTTGGTGGGCTTGAGGCCAATCCAACATATACTAAAGGCAACCTAAACCACCTTCTGGAACATTCTGTGCCTTCACAGAAGATGTCATGGCCCTGGAGAGTCCAGAGCTTCTGCAACCCCTGGTGGTTGGCTAACACGAGACCCTGGGAGAGACTGCAGTCGGTGAGTCTCCGAGCCCTGTTTGATACTCCAGGTCGCCTTATCTGGAGACTCAGCCTGTTGGTACCACACTCACGTAGCACAGATGGGCTGGGGGCTGGGCTTGAGGGAAACTGCCAGAAACCAGCAGAAGACACCCTGTGCTCATGCACCAGAGGGGCGTCCTCCCTGCGTGGCCTCTGCACAAACGCAGCAGTGTATGTAGTCCGCAGCCTGCTAAGCCTCCTGGCAGTGGGGACCCTGCGGTCTCACCTGGACTCCCGTCAGGCTGGGGTTCATGCAGCAACATGCGAACTGAGGCTCCTCCGCGCAGACAGGAGGACCTGGGCAACCCGCCCGGCCCGACGGGAAGCTCTTTCCAAATCAGCTCCCCTTCCTGTCATCTAACTGCTGAGGGGGACCCCCACCGCCACCTGACCCCTGGCTTCCCACTGCTGGCTTTCACCTGTTGGCTGAAGGTCACGTTCCTTCTCCTGCTGGTTTCGGGGCCGCCTCCTCCGGCTGCATCCGGCAGAGCCAACGTCTGGGGTCTCTTCAGAATCCCGGAGGCCCTGGGCTTGGGGGTGTCCAGGGAGCCCACCCTCAGCACGTCCCTGTCTGAGCTGGAAGTCAGAGCACCCTCCCTCCTCTCCAGCAGTCCCCGGTCCTGGTGGTAGAAGCCGTCTGGGGCCCGGGGGAAGCTGACACTGATGGCCTGCCTGGGGACGCTGCCAGGGAGGGCCAGGTAGTTGTCGTGGCCTCCCGTGAAGCAGTCGATGAGGACGCTGTCGATGTTGGAGGTGCCAAAGGAAGAGGCGAACTCGTTAATGCCCGTCAGGGAGCTGTCCCTGCTGATGAAGCTGCCGTACTTGGGCGTGAGGGGGCTGGGCGGGGAGATGGGGCTGGAGAAGCTGGCGTACAAGCTGGTGGCCTGGGCGGGCAGGGCGTCGCCGGCCCCCTCCTCCAACAGCAGCGGGGGCGAGGGGGGCAGCGGGAGGCTGGGGCTCTTCATGGCCGTCCGCTTCTCACCCAGGGGCCGCAGGGGCCTCTCTGGGATGCTGATCAGGGTCAGCACGGTGGTGATGCTCAGGGTGACCGCAGTGAAGATGTAGATGACGCGCAGCTGGCCCCCAAGGGCTCTCCCGAAGCCAGTTCTGTCCCAGTGGATTCCCCCGACCACGTATCCGAACCCCCCTCCGAGACCTGGGAGAGAAAGGGGGCTTTGGTTCCTTCCTGCCAGTGGCAAGGGAGACCCGAAGGACGGGGTCCCATTTCTTGGGACACTGAAATAGCACCGTCTGTCCCAAACACCCAGATGTAGTGTCTGTCCCACAGAAGCCCCAACAAAGGTGGCAGTGGCATTGCCAGGTGGCTCCTCAGGGACACTCCCTCCTCTGCCTGCTGGGGTCACCTGCCTGGTGGTATCCTGGGGCCTGGCTCCGGAGCGGGCAGCACATGGCCCCTGCCCTCCTGCTGCTCCACTCATCACGAGCTGTTAGGGCGACATAGTGGATGTCGCCAGGTCACGCCTTCCCTCAAGCCCCCTCTGGCCTCAGAGTCGTGGGAGGCTGACACAGACGAGCTTGCTCAGGTGCTCCCTGACCGTGTCCTTGCACACGGTCACCATGAGGAAAGTCACCTGTCACGGCCCCACCTCTCGTCCACCTGGCCCTCAGGATCTTCCAGCACAGGAAAACAGAGGGGTGTGGAGGTCTCAGTCCAGGGCCCAGGGCACTGGCCAGATGGCCAGGAGGCTCCCAGAGCCCAGCATGAAGATGTGAGCCAGGCCACGGCGGGGGTGGGGTGGAGGGGTACAGCGGCGGCAGCAGCAGCAGAGACCTCCAGAAGTGCAGATTCCTGCAGCCGGGCTCTGTGCGTCTGAGCCCAAGAGCAAGAGCAAGGGACGCTGCCCCAGCCCCAGCACCCCGCCCCTCCACTGCCAAATCTCGGGGAAGTGTTAATTTATTTTGTTTTGAGTTTAGCTGTATTTTGAACCATCTACTGTCTGGGAGGAGGGTTCCCTTGGTTTCTTCCAGCTCGCGATCTGGAACATGGCTTCTTGGGGTCTGGCCTCATTACCTTTAAGTGCGAACTCCCGTGCTCAGCCCTGCACACGTGCTAGGAGCCACACGCCACGGAGCTGAGCTCTTCCATTTGCCTCCCTCTGACTTTTACATTCCAGGTCGTGTTCTCCATCCCTCCTCTGCCTCTGTCTTGCTTTTTGCCCTTCTTTGGCATTTCGTTATTCTCCCTTATTTATTTATTTTTGGTACCTGGGATTGAACCCAGAGGTGTTCTATCACTGAGCCACATCTCCAGCCCTTTCTATTTCCTATTTTGAGACAGGGTCTCACCCAGTTGCTTAGGGCCTTGCTAAGTTACTGAGGCTGGTTTTGAACCTGTGATCCTCCTGCCTCAGCCTCCTGAGCCGCTGGGATCACAGGTGTGCACTACCAGCCCCTCTGATGCCCACATGCTGATTGGATGACTGTGTTGGTCACTGTGTTAGGGCCCAGGAAGTCTTCAGGGGTGCAGACACAGGCAACCAGCGACGATGCTGACTCCTGACATCTACTGCTGTCCAGGGCAACCGCCGCAGGGGTCAGCACCTCCCTCCTGACACCCAGAGGAAGGGGGACACACCCGTGGACAGCGTCTCTTGCATTCGGTGCCACAGGTTTTGCATTTTTGTGATTTATTTTTTCCCTGCTGTTGCTCTGTTTAAAACAGGCCCCAAGAGGACTGCTGAAGAGCGGCCTGGTGTTCCCAGGTGATACATGAGTGTTTGTGCATGCGTCGCAGGGCTGTTGGCCCCAAGTTCAATGTGAGTGAGTCAGCGCTGGAATAAAGCGTCTTGAAACAGAAACATGAAAAACTAGGTTACGTGTTGACCGATTTGATGAAAATATCGTGAGGGGAAGGTCACAGGAATCCAGCCCTGTACTCCTCCCGGGAGCAAGGATTCAGTATTTGCTAATTCAGCGTTTGCGCTGACTTTGTAAGAACACAGCTGCTGCAAATCACGAGAATGGACCGCCATGTGTGCTTATGTGTCTACATTTAAATGCACAGATACATTCCGCCCTCCGTATCCACTGGTTCCATATCCTCAGATTCAAAATATTCAGAAACTCATTGTGTCTGTCCTGAACGTGAACAGACCTCTTTTCATCATTCTCTAAATGATGCAGTATAACAGCTATTTACCTGCCACCTACATTGTGTAAAATACCATCAGCAACTGAGGGAAGACTAAAGTCGACGGGGAGATGTGCAGAAGTTATATGTAATCATTGTGCCTTTTTATTTTATTTTTTTGCTCTACTGGGGATTGAACCCAGGGGCTTGCACAGGCCAGGGCTGAGCTACATCCCAGCCCTTACTGTGCCGGTTATACAAAGGACCTAAGCAGCAGTGGATTTGGGTATGGCAGGGGTTCCTGGGACCCCTTAGGAGGACTGGAGATATGGATCTACACACACAGGTGTGTCACCATGGTATGTTACCGTGGATACATGTTGTTTGAGATACATCATTTTCATTTCTTTTTCTTTTTTTAGAACCAGGGATTGAACCCAGAAGTACTTAACCACTGAGCCACATCCCCACCCCTTTTTATTTCTTGAGACAGGGGCCTGCTAAGTTGCTTAGGGCCTTGCTAAGTTGCTGACGGTGGCCTTCAACTTGAGATTCTCCTGCCTCAGCCTCCCGAGCTGCTGGGATTACAGACATGTGCTCCCCACCCCCACCGCCAGATACATATTTTCAGTCGCTTAAATGCTTAGCCTATATTTGAATTTCCCCAACTTATTTTGAAATCGGGGAGTGAAGAAGGGCCCCCGAGTGTACAGGCTCACCCAGGTTTCTGCAGGCTCCGCGCAGTCAAGGGGCACTCACCCGCCAGGAGGGCATGGATGTTGAGGCCTCTGTCCTGGTCCACTGGGCTACACACGTCCATCATGTAGGCGTGGCTGGGGTTGTCCGCCGAGTCTGCACTGAAGTCCATCAGCACCACCCCGCACACGGTCAGGAGGATCCCCCACTTGTGATTGGTGGCCGTGTCGGCCAAGGCAGTGCCGATGTCCCTGCCATTTAGCAAGAGCGAGAGGCCCAGCAACGCCCCTGGAAAGAGACACAAAGTCACCCAGAGAAAACACCCACCAGCTCTGTCCCCTGTAGTTCACCATCTAAGTCCAGAATCCTGGGAGAATTTTCAAAAATCAAACTTCAAGCAGAGCTGGTGGGACGGGCCAGCTGCAGACTCGGGTGACTTTGCCCCTGGTCAGGTGTGAGCAGCAGAACTGGAATAAGGTGACAGTGACTTATCCCCAGGGTTGACTGAAGCAGGGTCGGGGCTCTCGGCGGCCACACCACTGAGGGCCAGGAGCACTAGGGACTGGGTTGGCAGAGACTTTTTACAGATTCTCCTAGAGGGAAGCTGCTGGGCTTCTTGTTTGGTTCTGGTGTCATTTTATTTCATGCCAAGACCACAGACCTAGAGCCAGGACAAGAATGAAAGGACGTCTCCTTCCCAACCTTGAGGTACATCGGTCACTCCAGGCACCCAGCAGAGGCTGCAGCAGGAACCCTGAAACACAGCAGGCTAGTGTCATCGCTGACCGCCCCCCACCCCCGGACCTAGGGACACTCGGGATGGCCGGTCACATTCCTGCACTCAAATGTCCCCAAAGAGTCAGAGGGTGGAGCCCAGAGGGGGCCACAGAACCCTAGCTACAACTGGAAGACAGAAAAACTCCGGGAATCGCTCAGAATGTCCTTAAAATTTCCACTTCGACAAAGCACTGAGCAGCCTTGACAGGACCACACCGACCCAAATGCCACCCGCATTTTCGCTCGGATTCTCTGATGACAGCTTGGTCCAAGAGGGCGTAGTTCTTGGGGTTGACTAATTCCTGTTCTAGTGTCTGCTTTAGATGAAGGAACTTAAAATGTGGGACGTGATCAGCTACATTGGCCTTCGACAGCCCCAGACTAATGAGAGGAACGTAATTCCTGCTCTCCCTTTGGAACCTCAAGCTACTTGAACCAAGGCTTCCGGAAGCTTCCAGAGGTTTCCAGAGGCCATGTGCCATCAGGGCTGGCTGGGGCTCACCGAGGATGGGGCTGATGAACCACACCAGGCTGTAGAGCTGGTCGGGCAGGCCCATCTGGAGGAGCACGGGGGTCACGTAGGCGGTCTCCATGGCATAGCTGAACTCAATACCAAAGAGGATACAGCCGTTGAACAGCAGCTCCCGGAAGGACCTCTGGGGGTGCAGGTCCCCAAAGTCCACTAGCTCAATGGGACACGGAGTGTTGGGGGGTGGGGGCGGAGACGGACGGATGCACTTCCTCCTCTTGGGGTGTCGCTTGAAATTGTTGGCCCGGTGGCTGATGTGACGAGTCACAGATCCCGAGTAGCCAGAGATCTGAGACCTCCAGACGTCCTGAGGCGCCAAGGTGGGGAAGAGGGCCTCTCCCGGAGGGGTGCCGCTTACGGGGGGGATCATGGTAGGCAGGGCTGTGGGCGTCCCTGTGGGGAAAGCCCATTGGGCACGACGGTTACTTCATGGGGCCTCGATTACAGGAGTCCACTTTCCGCGTGGCCCCTGTGGCTCTCTCCCCACCCGCTGGTCCTTTGCACACGGGAGAAACTGAGTCCACACTGAGCACCCCCATTTCACCCCGACCAGCAGAGCCGCCTGCCCAGGAGGATGGTGCAGGCCCCGGATCCTGTGGGTGAGCTCAGCCGCCTAGGAGACAAAGCCTGAGCCCCGGTCCTCAGGTCCCCGCATGAGACCCCACGGCTCCGCCAGGACAGTCGCGCCAAGACCCTCTTGCGGAGGTGAGGGCAGCCAACGGCTTGGTGGCTACCTGAAGGCCCCGTGGGAAGCCTGACCCATGGCCCACTTCCAGGGGACCAGAGTTGGGCAGACCAGGCCCAGGACAGGAGCCACCTGCGGACACTCTGAGTGGGGGGACAGCCTTCTTTCATAGGACGGAAAGTCACAGCGTGCCCTCTGCTCCCGAACCCTTGTATTCAGTCCCTGTAGGAGGCCAGGGGCCTCTCACTCCAAGCAGCTGGGCCAGCGAACACAGCCATGTCCTTTCAGCATCAACTCGTCAGTCAGAAGAACTGTCAGTCAAGTCTGGAGACTTCTATTCAGGGGTTCAAAAGCTCTCGAAGGAGGAGGGCTGGGGTGCCGCTCCGTGGTAGAGCACCCGCCTGGCGTGTGTGAGCCCTGGCTTGGATGCCTAGCACCTCAAAAAATAAAGGTGAAAAATAAAAAGGGCCGTGGAGGGGTGAGAGGTAGACTCCCATCTTTGATTTGTTTATGTTGAGAACAATTTCCACAGTGCCCACGAGGTAAGGAGGGAATCGGCACCCCCAACTCCCCCCTCCTGTCCTCCAGCCCGCCCAGGGGAGTACAAACTGCACTACACAGAGACCCCTCTCCTGAGCATCCAGATGCTGTTCACTGTTTTGAAATGAATCTAGATTTTACAAATTAAAGGAATGGACTCCTGTTGCTGACATGTGTTTTAGCTAGTGCCCACTTTCCTAAGCACAGGGAGAAGGCTACCGAGATCAGAGGGAGAGACAGGTATGGACGTCAGAATGAGTCCTAGGCCCCATGTGGCCTCTCTGAAAAGCAGGGGACCTCATTTCCTTTGAAGTTCTTCCTGAGAAGTAGCCCCCAACCCAGACAGCTTTCCCGACCTTGGTAGGTTTCTTGATGACAATGTTTGTCACTTACCAAGACATTACAGGCTTTCTTCCAAAATTAGTTTTAAGTTTCAGAAAGAAGGCCCTTATTTTTGACATTAATGTGACTATATCACTTCCCATCACCCTACGCTAGTGGATAACTTCTTTATGAGTCACTCCGAAGTTCCTCACCCCAGATTTATATCAACACACTCAGGGATCACCTTTCTTCCCTTCAGAAGACATGAGTGGTGGACGTGATTGGACCTAGAGCCACCTGAGCAGGATTCAGAACATTGAGCTAATCCAATGACCCAGCCACCCTTTCGCCCATCCATCCATCCATCCATCATCCATCCATCCTATATCCATTCACCTACCAACTCATCTCTCCATCCGTTCATCCACCATCCATCTACCCATTCATCCCTTCTTCCCTACATCCCTCCATTCATCCATCAATCCATTCAATACCCACCCACTCATCCATCCATCCTCCCTTCCAGTCATCTGTTTATCCACCCACCCAACCATTCACACATGCACCTGCCTGTCCCTCCATCCACTTATCCACCCATTCAACCTTCCGAACATCCGATTATCCAGCCATTCACCCGTCCTCTCCAGCTGACTGAGCACTGACACTGAGGATACTGAGGTTATAGAGATAAAACACAGACACCGCTCCTGTCCTGAGTTAGGTAAAAAAAGCACAGAGAAGGATCCCTAAACAGGGGACTCATTCACGGGGAGGAGAGGAGATCAACTGCTGGGCACAATGGGGTATGGTGAGAGAGTGAGCCATTAGCTAGCGATGAAGGGCCGTGAAGTCTGCAAAGAGAGGGATTTTGCACTGAGGTGGCTGGGAGTGACATGGCCAGAAACTAGCTCCACTCTCATTTCTATAAATGACTCATCTTGTGACCTTAGAAAAATGCCAGGCTGTCCTACAAAACAAGAATAGAGGGAACTAAGAACTATGTGTAGGCAAGCAATACTTCATTCAAAACTTAATTTATGAAGCCTGACTCAAGATCAAGGTGTTCTGAAGGCTCAGCTGACTGTGTTCCTCATTGTCTGGTTTGGGTCTTCTGTGTCAGTGTTTCACCCCATAAATAGAACTTAACTGCATGTGCTTAATTTTGGGATGGGGAACCGAGGTCCCAGTTGGGAAAAATTTCCCTTTAAAAAAGCATGTGGAAGAAGTACATTTTGAAGTAAGTGGGGAAACCTCTCCACCCAACTCACAATGGACTATGGAGACAGCATCCCCAGCTTTAGCCCAAGGCCAGCAGCCTGACCAGATAAACCCTCCAGCACCTAACAGAGTCACCCTGAACTTGAAAAGTCTTCCCTAAGCGTCGCTCCTGTTTAAATTTGAGGGTGTTACCATTCTTTTTGGGTGTTACCATTTTTATTTAAAAATATATATTAAATGAAAGCTGTTCATAAAAGTTTATCCTAAGATGAATTTTTACCCCCCCCCACCCCCTTTTTAATTTTTTGGTACTGGGGATTGAAACCAGGGGTGCTTAACCACTGAGCCACGTCCTCAACCCTTTTTATTTTTCATCTTGACACAGGGTCTCTCTCAGTTGTTTTGGGCCTCACTAAGTTGCTAAGGCTGCCTTGAACTTGTGATCCTCCTGCCTCAGCTTCCTGAGTCACTGGGATAATTATTGGCATGCACCACTGCACACTGCTAAAAATCCATTTTTGAATGTTACTATAAAATGAGTGAAAATGCAATTTAAAATAATAAAATAGAATTTTATCACAATAATACAAACATCCATCTTACGATCTTTAGGCCACTAATGACCATTTGTTCAGTCAGAAGAAAATGCATAATATCCCTGAACTCCCCAAATGTTAGACATCAGCCCACTGAGATTCCAGATACAGAGGATGGTTAACATAATGAATCCCTCAAACTGTTATGAGGAGTTTAAGTGGCACATGGTTAATAAAAATAAGTAACATCCACTGGGGGTGGTGGCCCATGCCTATAATTCCAGTGACTCAGGAGGCTGAGGCAGGAGGATCGCAAGTTCAAAGCCAGCCTCAACAACTGAGCAAACCCTGTCTTAAAATAAAAATAAAAAAGGCTGGAGGGTTGGGGCTGGGGCTCAGTGGCAGAGGGCTTGCCTAGCACGTGTGAGGCACTGGGTTGGATCCTTAGCACCACATAAAAATAAGCAAATAAAGGCATTCTGTCCATCTACGACTACAAAAAAAAGGGGGGGGGGCTGGGGATGAGGCTTGGTGGTTAAGGACCCCTGGGTCCAGTCCTCAGTACCCACCCTCCAAAAAGCAATACCCATGTAAGTTAGACCCTTGGAGTCATCCCACTGTGAGCCCAAACCCTTTCCCCTGCATTTCTCTCCTCTTCTCTGTAGGAAAATGGGCTCCCACCCGGGGCCTGGGGCCCTTGCCCCCCGCCCCTCTTCCCAAGGTTCTCTCAGGTGCTGGGGTCCGCGCAGGCCGGCGGGACCCTGCAGACGGGGACCCTGCAGACCGGTGCTGGGCAGCCTCTGAGCTGACCCGTTTCCCACTCTCCAGCTCCAGCAGTGGGCCCTGCCTGGGCGCCTGTCCCTGAGCCTGGCCAAGAGCTCATTGGACCGGCCGCTGGGCACCTGACCCTGGTCCCCGCGAGGCCAGCTCCTGGCACCTGGCACCTGGCACCTGCGAGGCCGCGGGTGTCTGCGGGGGTTGGTGACTCAGACACAGGGGGCAGGTGTCCTGGTCAGCACAGGTGGCCAGGCCCGGCCGAGCGCGACACCTGCCCAGGTGACAGGACAGGCCTCGGCTGGAGAGCGCCACCAGCCCCGGCAAATCCCGGCCCCTGCTTCCGCGAGGGCGGAATGAGCCTGTCGCCACGCTGCCACCCTCCGCCGGGCCTGGGGTCCCCGCGGGCGCCTGGCCACACTCGGGCAGAACAAAGGTGCGGGCGGCGGGCCTAGGCGCGCCCGGGACAGAGCCGCGGCGCGGGCGGGCGCGGTACCTGGGGTCAGACGGGGGGCATCCCTCTCCGCGGCTGGGCTCCTGGCCGCCCGGGCGCAGCGCGGGTCCCCGCCCGGCCGCCCCCGGCCCGCGGCTGCTGCAGCATCACCCCGCGGGGCGGGGCCGTGACGTCACGGCTGCATCCCGCCGCCCGCGGCCGCAGAGCGTCCTTAAAGCGCCCGGCGGCTGCGCCCGCGCCGGCCCTCGGGCCCGGGTCCGCACCCGCGCCCCAACCCGGCGGCGCGGCGCCCCTGGAGTCGGCTTCGCCGCGGGGTGGGTGTGAGGGCGGGCGCCGGGGTCCCAGGACACCTTCCCGGCCTGGGAGGGCACGTGGATCTGTTTGTTTTTTTTCCTCTTCTTCTGATTTTAAAATCAATCCACACATTTTCCGGTTTTCACGGATATTCTGTAAATAAATATCGTAAATAACTACCGTGGTCCCCGGACAGGGCCCGCTGCGCTGCACGGACACGGCGGCCGGGACGGGCACCGCAGTCACTTAACCGTCAGGTGCCCACGGCTGTGCCAGGCCCTGTTCTAGGCACCGGGGCTGACTCAGCAGGAAGGGGGGGGACAAGAAGTCCTGTCCTGTGGGGGGACATTCAGAGATGAGGACACAAGTTAAAGGAGATAAAATAGTGTCCCCGAAGTTAGCGAGTCCCTCCAGGACACAGAATTTTGGCGGGACAGGAGGACTGGGGTGGGAGAGCTGCTGTGGTGACTGGTGACTGTGGGGACCACGCGCTGTGCACCTGGGAACCACTGAGTGGAATTAAGTGTTTTCATCACAAAAAGGAA